GATCTGCAATTGAATTTTACGCAAATACTTTCATTAATGAAAATCGTCACTTTGATATCATCGTTATCTGTGAAGTGACAATATAAGGGCGTTTGGACTATCGGATGTCCAATTTTTACAAATATATCTGATTAATATAGCCTCATTTTAAATTGGACTTAGATATTAAAATTCGATTTATATTCATGACAATATGTTCGATCGAGCAAACAGCGCTATGTGACGTGGACTAATTTAAAATGAATGGGGCGCAAAGGCCGCCATAGATGACCTATAAAAGCTACCTTGCAACTATTGGTCATAAATTAGCCACAATAAAGATGGCATGCAAAATAATGTCAAGATTTGGAATGGTACATATGTTTTCGATCTAACTGACTACACGTTGAAAACCCACAGCCAAATGTAGGCTTTCAATCTTTAGATTTTCTAAGCGGCCCTTTGTGCTTTAAGTGTTGTTTTTTTTTGTTCTGGGCTAAAACCGTTGCATCTTCATATCACAAACACAACCCTCGGTCGCCCCGCCAAATTCTTGAGTGAAAGGCAAATAACCTCTCACAATATGACTTGACATCGTTATGGGATATTCTTATGCAGATTTTCAATTCTGTGGTCACATGTTTCTAAAGTACTCTCAAACTCACGAAACTTCAAAACTTAAAATGATTCAGCATTAGATGAAAAAACTTAGTGCCACTTTTCATCTATAAATATTGTAAATCTCTAGTCATTGTGTATGTATTCAACCATATGTTACCAAAATTTTGGTTGATGGCTGAATTACAAAACTTTTTCGCCTAAATTGGAAAAAAAGCGCGATTCGAACGTTGATTAGGGACTTGAACATTTGTTTCGTAGTTTGCTCAATTGGATGTGTAGAAAATACACCTAATTTAAGTTTCAAAAAGGTTTTTCAATTTTCTTGCCAAGATCATGCAAGATCCTGCCAAGCTACCACGCAAAATCGTGCACCATCTTGTATCATTGAGCAAAATTTCCAAGTTGCTTTCCAGAACATGCATGATACATTAAAAATTTAATATGATTTTGAAAACGTTTCCAAGTTACTTGCCAGGATAGCAATGCTACTTGAAAAACTTAACACGATCTTGGCAAAATTTTTGAGGATCTTTGAACCAGATTTTTCAAGTACCAAGGAGAACAGCAATGATTTTGGCTGCCAAAACATATCAAAGAATCGGCGCCTAAGAAATGCTGAGAAACCGACTTTAAATTCAAAAATTAAATCGTTTCAATTTTTAGTTAAACTCATTAAAAAATTCACGTTTTTAATTGAAAAAAGAAATTTTTGCAAAAAAGACCATAAGAGCTACTTGTAACATATGCATGAATGGATAATTCATGATCTGGTTTTTCTAGATTCATGGAATTTAACAAAAAGACTGAAGGCTTTTGGAAAAATTTTGAAAAACAGTTTCGAGGCAAAAAATAATACATTAAACACATTCCAAACAGCCTAATTTGCTGCAACAATCTTTCTTTTTTTGAGAAAACATTTAGTGCTAACAGATTGATTTCTTCCGAATGAAAACAAGTTTTGTTTCAGATCGATTTCAGATTCTTTTGTAGCAAAAATTTAATTTGTGTATCATAAATATTTTGGCAAAATCTTCATAAGATCTAGCACGATCTTGCCATGAATTCCTTGTCTGGTTGGCTTGGCAAAAACGTGGATTGTAAAATGGGCAAAAATGAGTTTTCTACGAATGCTTGGTCATCTTGGATTTCTTGCCAACATCTTGCCAACTGCAATGGTTAATTTGTCAATATATTGCAGGTGATACTTGAAAAACCCATAATAAACCATGATCTGGGCAAGAATTTCCAAGATCAAACCACAGGATGCTTCACCCTTGTGCTATCAAAGCTATTATCTTAGTATGTATGATGATGAGGCTCCGTATTATTATATTTGTATTGAGTTTCATTGAACGCAAAACTGCTTGTGTCAGGGCAAATTCTCGTACACTCGGAGTATACCGTATCTCGTCTCACCAAAGTTTTTGGGACAAAAGTTGACGAGGCTTATTATTTTGAAATTTTACTATTCTTTTTATTTGTAATTTTTAACCCGCTTATTATTTGCCGCTGCATAACAGGCACTAAAAATTAACTTTCCAGACTTTGAAAAGACGTTCGTATGCATTTATCATAATTGTAAAAAGTACGCATGAAACAGTCCCAAAAAGTAGTCATTTAATAATTTTCAAACGCCGCAGAGAATCAGCGTAAGCAATTCCAGATAAAACATTTTTTGGTCTTTAAGTAGGAGAGTTTGCAATTTCAATAGGATTAAAAAAATCGTTCAAAACTATTATTTCGAACACCAAAACTGGTTTGAAGCACAGATTAGTCTTGCAGTTCAAATCAGTACTGGTACAAAAGTGGGATCTTGTTAATTGTTTCCCCCTATGACAATAGGGGAGAGGGTGTAGGGGGAATAGTAAACAAAAAACAAAATTCGTATATGCTTAACCGTTCAATTCTTTCTTAATAGGGGTGAGTATTCTTCACAAAGTACCATAGGGAGGGGGAATAGTTAACAAGATACCAAAATAAAATGGCAAAATTTTAACAGTGCTGATTCATTTTTGACCCTGTGCTTTTTTGGGCTTTGTTTTGTAACTATAGTAAAACAAGACTGCTCGTATCAAGGCGAAGCACTGAATGTTCCGACTGCCTTCTAAGGTCTATGGAGCAATAATAACTTGAAAAATTTAAATGTAACAAAATAAGATTATTTAAAAAAAATTGAGATTTTTTTTGTAAAAACGTCCCCCCACACAACATATTAAGTACAAAATGATAAATTTTGCTCCTATTAAATAATCAATTATGGCATATAAGCTTCCTCGAGCCAATTTGGAACGAATTCTAAGACGGATTAAATCTCCGCTTACACGTTGATAGCGCGAAATATATCGCGCGTTAATTTTCCCAAATTGGCCAAAATGGTAATCTTTAAACCCCCATAACTTTACGAAAAATGATCATAGGTAAAATATCTTTCAAAATTGAGCTCAAGACAACAATAGATTTTGAATGATATTAAAAATTTCCGTTAACAGTGGCTAGTTAAAAAGTCAAAAATTGTCTGAAGAAAAAAAACTCACCCCGAGCACAAATATTCCGTTACTTTCCTTACGAAAATACTCTTACTTTCCTTGTCGGCAGGGGGTCAAATCTTTGAGGAGGATGGGGGCGTGCCCCTTTCTAAATCCGCTGGTGGCTATATATAAAAAAATACAGTTTCTTTTAGTTTGGTAACCAACTGAAGAGCACACAAAACAAAACAAAACTAAAACGAAACGAAGCGATGACGTTTTATGAAAAATAATGGATTTAAATTGATTATTATGGCTTATAATTCAATAAAAATTGAGGAAAAAACTTCCATAAAGTAATCGATTTCAATCGATTACAATCGATTATTAAAATTTTTATTGTTTCAAAAAATAGTAATATTATAATCTATTTTTAATCAATTATAATCAATTCTTTTTGAAAGTTATGGAGACTGACTATAAAAATCCAATATAATCTATTATTTTCTCTTTTTACTGAATCCGGGCGGGGCTTTATTCAAACAGAAACGCAAAATTTTACATTTTTCCCACTCTTACGCCTAAGGATGGATGTAATACTCTTACTGATAATTGATTTGGTACTGCACAATTAAATTTCGTTATGGCCTATGAACATAGATGGCCCATGTTTGTTTATGTACAAGTTTTGTTACAGATCTGCATTTCTGAAAAATCACTGTAAAAATACTGAGGTAGAGCTGATTTGCTTTGCTATGTCAACTTTTGAGATAAACTATTCTAGTTGTAAACGTTTATTTTTTCTCAAAACTCTACCTACCCTAGCATAAACATTAAAACAAAAAACCACCCATAATGGAAACTCGGAACAAAAAACCACCCTTCGGATTATTAATATTCATTCAATTCTTCCAAACTTGTTCAAAAAAAAGGGCGTAGAATAAATTGTACAATATTTTTTTCAAAACTCGAAACCAAAACTACCAACGCAATCATAAATATTTCATTTCTCTCTTTGAAATATGGATTGAAAATCATTGATCATAGCATAAAAATTTTGTTTTTTCTACAAAATTGCAAGAGATGGAAGAATAGGTAATTTTGATGGCAGAAAATAAATTTCATCAAAAAAAGTGATTAAAGATCATTCGCATTTGAAATTTTGCTTTGCAGGGTAATCAGTTTTCTTGCCATTATTTTTAGTGCACGCCAAACATTGCGCTTGTCTGTTTTTTAATCAAAGATTTATCCGCAAAATGATTTACACGTAGTTTGAAAAAAAGTTAGGAATTAAGATGCCATTTTCTGCCAGCACAGTCCAGTCCGTTCTTCAAATTGATAAGCTTGAAACATTTAACAAAGGTTCTCCACAGACTTTCTCCTGAATATGGTTCATGGAGAGTTTCAGCGATTAAATGATCAAATTTCTGACCAATTTTTTGTGACTTTTGGTGGAAATAGTCAAACTCTGAGGGTGAAATGATCCTTTTTGTGGTGTGCATATTCCAAAACTTACAGGAAATTTGATCAATTTGAAAATTGAAATTTTTTTTCTTATGGAAAAACGCAATTTGAAACAAGCACCAGACACGTGGAAAATTCAATAAATGTCAATTTCCAGTGCGTTTTCCAATAACTCCGACCATTTTATCTGGTGTTCTCCTTGTTTTGAGGTTTTCATGCATCCTTTCTTGGCAATTCAGCTCTTTCTGGTAATCCGTGTTTTTCCGACTGTCTCGCGACAACTTTCTTTTAAGAAGCAGTGAACGCGTCAAGTTCTTATCTTGGTCTTTTAATGACTAAAACGAAACTAAATTTTATAACAAAAAGCCGGAACAAGTTGTCACTGGACCAAAATTTTACCTCTTTACTGTTGGAAAAATTTCTCCCAAAAACTTACCAATCAAAGTTCTTATTATTATTTTTTCATTCTAGACTATGCGTCATTGGATGTTTGGCCAGCTGCTCTGTACTCTGTACACTTCACTGGATATCATGTGTTGCACTGCGAGTATCATCAACCTGTGTGCCATATCCCTGGACAGGTACTGGGCCATAGTGACCCCCTTCCAGTACCAGCACAAGATGACACGCAGAACATGTCCCCTAATCATAGCCAGTGTATGGCTCAGGTGAGTACAACTTACATATAGCACACAAAAAAGTGTCGTGCCGGTCCAGACATTTTAAACTGACTCGATCGAAACATATACTTTGCACTATTGGTTTATTCGCGCGATGTCACAAAAAATATAAATAAGGCTGAAGTGTCACGCGTTTTTTGCAATTTCCAAGATTAAGATGATTAAATATGCGCTAACTATAGTAGTTTTTCCAAACTGTTTATTTTTTTGGATTGGACGATCTGACAATTTTGAGTAACGTTTCTTGGATAAATTTCGTCTTCAGCTCTGCGACCATCGCCGTGGCACAAATCGGTTGGCGTTACGTTATGGGGGAACTTCCATCTGAAAACAAACAACCTAAGCCGGGACACTTCAATGAAACAATTAATGTCACTCTTGAATCTTCTGGTAGTCCCGAACAAGGATCCGAAAAGGATCCTGAAACCGGGGAGGAGCTGCAACAGTGCCAGATATCCTTGGACTTCTCATTCAGAGTATTTTCCAGCATGTCTTCTTTCTATGTTCCTCTGGTGGTGATGCTGTTCACTTATTCTAGAATATTCGCAGTGGCTCAAAGACAGAGTAAAGCGATGGCTGAGCAGCTAAGACAATGCAACCCTACAATCCAACAAAACGGAATCCTACTTACAAATAACAACGGCGCTAATGGTGACGACCAAGAAAAAGTAAACAACAACAACAACAACCATAACATGAAAGAAAACGACCTCCCGAACAGCAGCAGAAGCAACAGCACGAACAACAACACCCTCGATCCGAACTGTTCAATTTTAGACCCGAACGGACCCGACGGCGAGCCACAGCCGAACTGCGGTGGCAGTCGAAACGCCTCGGTTTTCAGCCGAACCAGTTCTTTCCGAGGAATCAATCGTTTCGTGCAACGGGCAACTAAATTTGTGGCCCGATCGAACCCTCTGGGTCAAGCTACTGAGTTAAAGGCTTTCAAGACGCTTTCTATTGTAATGGGGGTTTTCATTGTGAACTGGTTTCCTTTCTTCGGTCTGTATTTGGTCGAGGGGTACCAGCAACGTCGCCTCGAAGGTCTTCCGGCTGTAATTGTTATGTGGCTAGGGTACTTCAATAGTGTCCTGAATCCTTTTATATATTTCTTCTTTAATAAACAATACAGAGAAGCCTTCATTAAGATGCTCTGTCCAGCCTCAAGACGAAAACTGAAGCACGAGTCTACCATGCTTGCTGTCTGATGACGTCACACTCGTCTCCTTGACTTATAATTGACCTCAAATGACCTCTATACATTCTTTATTAACGACATATGACCAGATCTGCAGTTAACTTTATAGTTTTGTAATATTGAAGCACTTGTAGCTTTCGTGTTTACTCGGAAATGCGCTCAAAAATTAGTTGTATTTTTATTTATATGTTTAATGAACTAACCAAAAGATTTATAACGCAAATTTTGTTTAAATTCAAATCTCAGATTTTTTACACTAATCAGTTATATATTAGACGCTTATATTTTTTAGAAAATATAAGCACGAATAACCAGTAGCTCTACAAGAAGCATAGAATGTTGCAACTACAGTCGTTTATGGACACAAAATAGAGCAATTCCAAAATAGTGTATTTCGCTGAAAACCTGGTGAAATAAGCTGGCTATATCGCCCGGGTCGAGGTCTCAGAATCATGTCCAGACTTTCGCGACAAAAACTTGGCATGTCCAGACTTTCCAGACTAAAATTAGACATGTCCTGATTTTCGCGATCAAAACCTGGCATTTACAGACTTTCGCGACCCGTGATGATCCGTCACGACTTTCTCGACCGAAAAGGAGGTGGCGCGACCAAAACATCGCGACTCGTATTTGGTATGTCCAGACTCTCGTGACCAATAATTGACATTTCCAAACTTTTGCGACCGAAAAACTCAGGCGCGAATAAGATGCATGCGGCGCGACCCTGCGGCTCAGGAGACGGCGCGACCAAGCTCAGCCATTTCCAGACTTTCCAGACCGAGATAGAGACGGCGCAATTTTCCAGACCAACATGGAGACGGCGCGACTAAGAAACTTTTTTTGTCAGGGCTTCCGCATCCGAGGTGGAGATCGCGTGGGACTTTCCAGACCAAAGTGGAGACGGCGCGAATTTTCAGACCAAGACGGAAACGGCGCGACTTTCGCGACCACTGGGATTTGGTCACGAAAGTCTGGACACAAATTTTCGCGACCCATGTCCAGACTTTTGCGACTAAATTTTGGTATATCTAGACTTTCGCGACCCATGTCCAGATTTCGCGATCAAATTTAGGTATGCCCAGACTTTCGCGGCCCACGGCGTGACTCATGTCTATAATTTCCAGACTCAAACTCTCGGCGCGACTGTGCAATTTGGGTTTAAATCCAGATGCGGTGCGACCCTCAGAGTCTGGACATGAGTCTGGGACCTCAGCCCGGGCGATCAACTGTGATCAATAATTACCCACTTAAATGGTTTTGGCTGTCAAATCAGTTAATGTCATCTTTTGCAGTAAATGTAGAAAGCTGAGTGGCATCACAACCAAGTCTCGCCGGTCAGAAAAGTTGGGAGGACAGTTTCAGCCAATTTCCTCTAACTTAGTCTGAAAACCGAAAATGTTCAGATAGTTTGTCTCGACACTGGGATTACGTTTTCAAACTTTTTTGGAAGCCGAATAGCGACCCATTGTATTTCAGTTGATACCACACTTAACTCTCTAAACGTTTCCTTGAAGAAGTCAGAATTCGATGGAAAAAAATTGCCTTGAATCCAAAGTTCCTCTGCACTCTTCGAATGTTCAGAACAAAAAGAAACGAACGAAGAGATTTAGATAAAAATCAGGTTCGAAATTCATGAAAACGGTAATATCTGCGGTTGTCATATCCTGCGTAGTTGCTGTGCTTGTTATCGAAAAACTACTAAGTATTACAGCGAAATCAACTGGGATCTACGACCATCAAATGCTATAAATAAGGAAAAACAGCAGCAGTCGCAACAACCACACAAACAATATCAACAACAACAAAGTTCGGACGAAATATTAAGACTTGTTTTGATGCCTAGTTGACCAAAAATAGGTGTGGTAAAATAACAACAAGGATATCCGGTTGCTGTGCAACAAACACTGAATGGTCCGACCATATTCTTGAAAAATACATCAATAATTTTTTCATGGTTTCAAATTAAAATTTTGTTGTTCATTGTGCGTGCTGCAATAGAACGGTCTGACGAAAACCTAAAAATTACGCAAACTTGACAGTCACAATGAATAAAGCAAAGATTTTTTTCGAAAAATCGCTAGAAAAAAAAACAAAAACAAAACTCTGAAAAAAAATTCTCTCAAATTTGTTTTCATTATTTTTGAAGAAATAGTTTCAAGTTTTTGAAGTTTTACGTTCCAAAAACGGCGCTAAATATGTCACACCGGTTTTCTGACACTGGAAAAAAGTTTCAGAAAAAATCTAATGTTTGAATCAAGACTGAAAGTTGTTGTTAAAATGAGAAATATTTCCACCCTTTACGATGATTGTATGTGGTAAATGTTTTTGCTTGAATAAGAAAACAAATCTGATTTCTCACCTCACTCGTTTGAAATCAGACCAAAAACCAAAAACATCAAATGGTTTTTTTCTAACCACTGGGAAAACTTTTTTATAATTGCAATCGTTCGAATTACAATTGAAAGGGTTTCAATATGATATACTTTCGACCTCTTCGATGATTGTTTGTAGTACTGATTTTCCAAGGAAAAAAAACTATAAGAAAACAGAAAAACAAAATCTTTCCCATTTCATTGTACGGAACAGAATCCTTAGAGTTTTCTGGGTGCTGAACGGTTCGGACTTAATTGCTCGACTAAAGCATCAAGCAAACTGGTCGAACGATTTCGTTTGGATCCTTTGTTCGAACTAGCTCAATTTTGCTCGAGTTTGAGATACCGGTCATAATCAAGTTGATTCCCAATTCGATCATTGATTGAACCACGTCTATAACGTGTCATTTGCAACAATTGACTTAGAACAAAGTTGTATACGTAAGAAAAAGAAATTCCGTCTTTCCGTCTGAATGATTGGTATCAGGTAAACAAGAAAAAAAACAAAAAAAAACTAAAACAACTATCACGTGCAAACGATTTATTCAAACAATTCAAAGTCTAAGAAAATTTTATAATAGACAAAAAAAGAGTGATTTTTTTAAAACAATTTTACAACGTTCGTTTTTTGGGTAACACTAAGCTAAACACGAAGAAACTTTTCTGCAATTGGAAGATGCCACTACCTGCTTTGTGGATCACCGTAACAAACACGCCAAAAAGAAAGATCTCATTATTCGCTTCATTGGAACGCAAGTTGATCACGACGACATCATAAATGACTGTGGGCAGATGCTACGAACAAACACAGCCAAGACGACTTCACAACTATACTGATGCTGCGAGCTAACACAATGAAGACGACTCCACATTTGTACAGAATACTCATGCCGATACAATTCGAATCCCCATACAGAAATTTCATCGCAACTTCAGCTATTACTAAATCAGGATTCTAGTCAGACGTCAACGTTAACCAGCATTGGCCATCAACTTGGATCATCAGCACTACAAAAATCAGATGACCTAAACTAATCAGATATCCGAGATACTCCCGAGACTTATTTCGATATAACAACGAAAATTAGCCGACCGACCTCCGCTTCAACAGCCAGCACATGACATCACGATCGTGAGACTCAGTACAACACAATAACAAGAAAGCAGTTCATACCAGCAGTAGACTCTCAGGCATTGAGCAACGGAAAGTCGGAACGAACTACAGTCTTATGACTAGACCTTCAAAAAATAAAAGTGAGCCTATTGAGAGAAATCCCATTAAGTAGAACAAGTGGTTTGGCCTCTTCGAAACAACTTCTTTAATTGCCCAATCTCGGAAGCCAGAAAAGACACATCAGAAAACTTTAACTACAGGAAAAACTAATAAAGCTATATTTAACAGTGCCTTCAAAGAACTACGACGACAATATGGACCACCAGACGTCATCATCGTTGACTTCATCAACGACTATAGAGCTTCAAGCAACCATCAGATCATCGCACTGATTCGAACAAGAGTTTTTCTACTTTCATCAGTAACAAGTTTATATTTTTAGTACGCTTGGGATCAAGGACCACTTGAGCTCAACAATATATGTAACAGTTAAGGTCAGCAAATTACAACACCACCAGCAGCTTCATTAGACGCAAAAGATCACCACCTAAAAAATCACGCAGTAAAACCTCATCAAGAATAGAAAGATAATTCACCAAGCATTCAACCGCAATACATGAACCAGGACTCAACGATCAACACCAAGGTTTTAGAGAACTCGACACGCCAACGAAATACAACAATAGACCGACCAGCTTTTACCGCAGACATCAGGAAACTGGATTACCATTACCCGGACCCCATGCCCTTCGACCGACAAACCATCAGCTAGCATACTGCAGCCAGTACAAGCATTAGCCTTTTGAAGAAAAGCAGAAACTCTTTATGGACAGACAGTTTCTGTACTTTTACCTCGAACAAGAACCTCAACTGAAAGGTTGCACCTCAAAACACGCTTCCAGCTACAGCAACCAATTTCAACATTCAGAATTGCACATTTTTTTCAACATCTCATCCTGCTCGATGCAAGACCAACCGTGGAAAAGGGTGATTTCGTCCAATTTGCCGCAGCCAAACTCACCTTGAGGAGACAGATGACACTGCGACTCCTCTAACGGTGACCGAGATGGAATCGAACGCATGACCCTCGTGATGAGATACATGTGCCTAACCCACTCAGCCGCGACTGCTTCAACCTTGCACGGTCATCAAAAAGAGCACCCGCAGCTCAACACCAGCCAAAAACCAAATCAGTCAAGCCACCTAGACAGTCAAAAGCCAACACTTGTTAGTAGCAACACACTCCTCATATAGTACCAGTAATCCTCCATCACCACACAAACGTCGACAAGTACGTTTTTCTCAATAATAAAAACACAAACAGTTACATGTAACAGAAAACCGCATATTTTTTGGAAATAGAGCAATTCAATTGTCGTTCGAGGGTTCTTTGACTCCGTAATAGGGACGCATAAAATGGATCTAACAATTCGCGCTTTAGAGAAGTCTTCGACAACCTTTGATTTTTGAAAGGTTTCTATGATGGTTGCCAGCAACGTCAGTGCAGCAAAAACTGACAAACTCAACAGCATCTGTAGAAACCACGACCACTTGGACTACATCGCCTTCCCCAATTTCGCCGACAACTCAAGTTGCATCATACCAATAACAGATAAAATCGATTTAATTAAACCCCAAACGACAAACAAAAGATCACCTGAGGTTTGACGTGCGGTTAAAGTAGTTTCCGAACCAAATGAGTTAGACATCAAAGAGAAAAAAATAATTGCTACACATCAGGCGACAGCAACAATTTCACTCGAATCAACCAATAACAGACGCTCGACAGCAGATATCAACAGCATCAGTAAGACCATTTTGGCGGAACGGCCAACCGACCTACAATCGTCAGCACAACAAACAGAACATACTCGGATTGCAACTTTAAATGGTCAATGGATTCTAAAGACGGCAGCTCCACAACTAACTCAGATCAACTCTTGAAAGCCGCAGATTTAACATCGCTATTTTGCAGAGGCCCACCAAGGAAACAAACACGAAAGAATTTGCGAGTCAAACGGAGCCAACATCGTTTTTTCAAAAAAGTTTCGATGAAAAAAAAACGGACATGCCCGCTACCACATCTAAAAAAGGATCAGTCAAGCTCATAACGACAACCGACAGAGAAAATTTCGGAACACCGAAAGAATTCTCGGGACTTCGGACAATCAATATTATTTTCAACCACCAGGAAGATATCAGACTAACAGCAACAATCACAAGTTTCTTCAGCGTCAATGAATTCAACGGAACAGCAACGACAACTTCAACCCAACACCTGTTTGATTTAAAAATCGATGCTTAAAAAATTCTGCGGTAAAATTCCCAGCACGGACGATACTCTACAGCATCCCACAACAAGAACCAAATACCCAGCCAAACATTGAACGGCAAAGCAGCAAGCTAAAACATTGAAAACACTACTCGAAGCCTCAACGAACCAACGGTATCAACGACATTTGTTGACTTTGTGCAAAAAAAGCTACCAGAGTTTTAAACAAATAAAAGTCGGCAACAATATACAGCAACAGCAACACAGTAGCCAACAACAATAATAGCAACATCAGTAGACGCATCAACATCAACCATCAGCATCAACAAAATGAAACACACATTGAAATGAGCTGAGCTGACGAATCTGTGACACAGCCACAACCGATATCAGCTGAGCCATTTTTGGGAATCGCCACCGTTCAGGAAATATTCCAACCCCCATTTTTTATTAATAATACTTTACAACTGCAAAATGAGGCTGGGTGTAACGTTTCAATTGCAAAAAGTAAATAAATAACAAGGCTGTTCACGCGCAGCATAAAATTGGAAATCACGCCTTCTTAATTGGAATCATCGACTCGAAAAGGAAAGTTACCAAAATTTGAAATAACATCCTTAATTGTTGTCATGAGTCGAATTGAGCATATGAGGGAGAAGAGCGTTTAATTCGCTTTGTTAACGCTCTTCGCGCTTGACTTCAAATCCGCGCCTAATTTTAATTAAAAATCCGTGCCTAAGTCTAAAGAAAGCACCTTTTTCAACAAAATCAACTTTGATTAATTTCGAACTATATAAATCAATGCTTTATAGGGTAGATTATTAAACCAAGCTAAAATTCAAGCGAGTAGGTTATTCAGTAACTCAAAGATTGTTGCCTTGCTATTTAGTGTGCTTCCCAATCGGTTTCAGTCTTGCCTCAATCTCTCCCAGAATCCGATCTGCCGATTTGAAAACAGTATCCGCATCTTTCTTCGAGAAACACATGGGCGGCTTAGTTTTGATCACACTATTGAACTTCCCGTCTAGATTGACCAACACTCGGTTTTCTTTCATCATTCGCACTTGCAATTCATCTGCTTCTTTCGTTCCCGGCTCAAGTGTGTCTTTATTCCGAATGAGCTCAAAGCCTACGAGTAGTCCTTGACCTCTGACGTCAACATACAACCTATGTTTAAGTTGTAGCTCTTGAAGTTTCTTTTTCAAGTAAGCTCCAACTTCTTGTGCAAGTTGCTGTAGATTGTCGTTTTCAATCACATCAAGAACTGCTAGACCAGCTGTCATTGAAACTGGAGCTCCTCCAAAAGTGTTGAAATATGTTCTCTTTCCGGCACAGAATGAGTTCGAAACTTGACTTTTTACCACAAGCGCGGCCAAAGGGTATCCATTTTTAATTGGCTTCCCAGACGAGACCATATCAGATACGATTTGGTCCCTTTCAAAGGCCCAAAAATGGGTTCCGATTCGCCCAAAACCCGTTTGGATTTCATCTGCAATACATAGAATATCGTCTTTTGCAAAAAGTCAAAATTTTTTGAGATAATTCTTCGGGAATACAATGTGACCTGCACATGAGGGAAAAGATTCGGCGATGAATGCCGCGACTGAACAAACTCTAATTTCATCTCTCTCTGACACAATGACTGCGGCAAGATCTTTCAAATATGCATCACATTGCCGTGCTTCTTTCTTAATATGAGCAAACTTTCCTCTTACAGGATCAGGCATGGATACTACTTTAACCCAATTGAGTTTTGACGGATGGTCTAACTCATAGAGTAATTTCAGATAGGGTACACCGTCTGCTCGTCACGCTATCTTATTTTCGGCCGGATAGATTCGTGCAACTTCTTTGTTTAATACCGATCTTAATCTTACTCTTATATCTCTTAGTCTCAATAGATCTATAGTATACTGGTTTGTTACGAGTTGGTCTCTTGGAAAAGGCAACTAAGATTTAAGTTAAATTCAGAATGCTCTAGTGCTGAAACTACAAGTAATTTCAGCACTTACAAATAAAAGGCTTGTTAGTTAGATGGAGTATGATTGGTTAGTCTTTAATATTTTATAGGGATAAAATATCTAATTTAAAACCAATAATAATATATGGTTTGGATCAGGTTCCACCCATCCGGGGTTTACAGAGTTTTTGTTTCTTTGTCTTATTTCTGTAGTGGAGGATGGATGATTCATAGTTCAAATTTCGCAAGCGTCATTTCTATTCCATTCTTGGAAGAGAAAGCTCCAGGAAACTGGAATCGTAGAATTCATCTTGTCAATCAACGATGACTGAGACCGTCAACAAAATCAATCTGATTTCAAGATGGTTTGTTATGATCGTCTGTTGTTGATCGGTGTGGAGAACTATGTTTCGATCTGAATTGGGAATGGCGTGAAGCTCGAGTTTGGAGGGAATGCCCTGTAACTCGGATCTGTACGTATACTTGAACATCTAGGTGGTCATTGGTCTGTTTCAATGAATTCCTTTGCTTCGAAGTCAAGTCGTACTTTAAATCCTTTGAGTTGTGGTTGTGAGCGGCATATCGGTTGAGTTTAGCCATTCTGTAGGTTGTGCGTGATGAGGTTGTCTTAGCTGCTTGGTGCTCGTCTTCGTAATTGTGTATGATCTATATTACTGCAATATATATTTTACATAAATAAATCTTTGGTTAATCCTTCTTTTTAATAATGATTTTTTATAAATTTTTATCGCAAAAGCTTTTATTTCTAGTTCAGTTATTTTAAAAGAGTTACTCACACTTGAGTACCTCTTATCAAAAATAAGGAGTGTGTCACAAAGCGTGGGTTTTTAGCACAGTGGGTTAGGCCGGCTATTGAGCCTGCTCAGGAATTCGTCCTCTTCTGGTGGATTAGGCCAGGAGTAAGGGTATGATTTCATGCTGGTTTTTTATGGGGTCTGTTTTGTGTTAAATTTTGTGTTGTTTTTGATTCTGGTTTTTCCTTTTGTTGTTTTAATTATGTCCTTTTCTTAAAAATCAAATTGTTTGGTTTGGGTTTGTCTTATGACTTTTTGGTGTTTTATACCTTCTTATTTTAGACTTAGCAATAGTCTTCAAAAGAATAAATTATCGGTTCTTCAAGGTGATTTAATCCAGTTTGGGTACTGTGGGTTTTCTTTTCTTAGTCATGCTGTTAGTTTGTGTTTCATGATGTTTAGTAAGCTGCGTTGGTTAGTTGAGATTATTATAAAATTCCTTTCCAACCGGGTTTAAAGAAAATTTGAAACTTGTTATTATTAGTTTGAGTTGTTATCTGTGAACGTTAAAACTTGAAATCATTTTTTTAAACAATTGGTCGTGGGCGAGCTATGCGATTGTGGATGAAATTTGTGTGCAAACAATTCTTGAAAAAGTTAGTACTGCTAGCATTTGTATAAATTTACTGCTGAAAATTTTAAATTTACTGCATTGTGGGGATTGAAATTATTAAATTATTTTCAGTGTATTCAGATTTACTACATTGGGGAAAAGAACTTATAGATGAATTTACTGCTGTGGAGAAGAAATTTCACTGCGTCTTTTATTGCTGTTAGTTAATAAAAGTTTAGAATTATAAAAGAGTTTACTATTTGAAAAGTTTATAATGTATAAAAGAGTTTGCAATTTTTGTTTCTTTTTTCTGTTTTCTTGTTTGTAGATGATGGTGATCTAAAGACTAATAAAAAAACATATAATAAGAAATTGTTAGTCTGTTTTGAATTTATTATTGTTAAATTATTTAATTCATACTTACTTAATTATCGGGGAAGAAGCCATGAGGGAAGATATCGCGAATTGAATCTGATTTGGTTAGTAATTTTGCTAATTTGCGAATGATGTTTTTAGTTTCGAGTTGTGGCCAAAGCAATTGAAATGCTTTTATGGTGTTTAGTTCTTCGGTGCCAATGGAAAACTCGTGATTGGTGTGTTGAATGAGGTTAAAAAGCTTGTGATTATATTCAGTATTGAGAATGAATTCTAGTATTGGGATTTCTATAAACTAAAAAACTATCACAAGCAAACGATTATTTCAACTTATTCAAGGTCTAAAAATTAGAAAATTTTTTCATAGACAAGAAAAGAGTCACTTTTTTCACCTTTCGTTTTTTGCGTAACACTTAAGTAAACACGAAGAAAAACTTCTGCAATTGGAAGACATTACTACTTAGTTTGTGGATCACTGTAGCGAACACGCCAAAATTAAAGACCTCATTATTCACTTCATTGGAATGCAAGTTTATCACGACGACATCATAAATGACTGTGGGCAGATGCTACGAACAAACACAGCCAAGACGACTTCACAACTATACTGATGCTACGAGTGAACACAATGAAGACGACTCCACATTTGTACAGAATACTGATGCCGATACAATTCGAATCACCATACAGAAATTTCTTTGCAACTTCAGCTTTTACTAAATCAGGATTCTAGTCAGACGTCAACGTTAACCAGCAGCAGCCATCAGTTTGGATCATCAGCACTACAAACATCAGATGACCGAAACTAATCAGATAGCCGAGATACTCAGCAACAAGCCCCCTAAGACTTATTTCGATATAAAAATGCAAATTAACCGACCTCCGCTTCAACAGCCAGCACATGACATCACGATTGGAAGACTCAGTACAACACAGTAACAAGACAGCAGTTCATACCAGCAGTAGACTCTCAGACATTGAGCAACGGAAAGTCGGAACGAACTACAGTCTTATGACTAGACCTTCAAAAAACAAAAGTGAGCCTATTGAGAGAAATCCCATTAAGTAGAACAAGTGGTTTGGCCTCTTCGAAACAACTTCTTTAATTGCCCAATCTCGGAAGCCAGAAGAGACACATCAGAAAGATATAACTACAGGAAAAGCTAATAAAGCTATTTCTTAAGATTCCTGCAGCAGTTCTATATATTTTGGTGCCTTTAAAGAACTACGACGACAATATGGACCATCAGACGTCATCATCGTTGACTTCATCAACGACAAAAGAGCTTCAAGCAACCATCAGATCATCGCACTGATTCGAACAATAGTTTTTCTCTTTTCATCAGTAACAAGTTTAATGTTTTATTACGCTTGGGTTCAATGACCACTTGAGCTCAATCTTATATGTACCAATTAAGGTCAACAAGTTACAACACCACCAGCAGCTTCAATAGACGCAAAAGATCACCACCTAGAAAATCACGCTGTAAAACCTCATCAAGAATAGATAAGATAATTCACCAAGCATTCAACCGCAATACATGAACCAGGACTCAACGATCAACACCAAGGTTTTAGAGAACTCGACACGCCAACGAAATACAACAAAAGACCGACCAGCTTTTACAACAGACATCAGGAAACTGGATTACCATTACCCGGACCCCATGCCCTTTGACCGACAAACCATCAGCTAGCATACTGCAGCCAGTACAAGCATTAGCCTTTTGAAGAAAAGCAGAAACTCTTTATGGACAGATATTTTCTGTACTTTTACCTCGAACAAGAACCTCAACTGAAAGATTGCACATCAAAACACGCTTCCAGCTACAGCAACAGTGGAAAAGGGTGATTTCGTCCAATTTGCCGCAACCAAACCCACCTTGAGAAGACGGATGACACTGCGACCCCTCCAACGTTGACCGAGATGGAATCAAACGCATGACCCTCGTGATGAGATACATGTGCCTAACCCACTCAGCCGCGACTGCTCCAACATTGCACGGCCAACAAAAACAGCACCCGCAGCTCAACACCAGCCAAAACCCAAATCGGTCAAGCCACCTAGACAGTCAAAAGCCAACACTTGTTAGTAGCAGCACACTCCTCATGTAGTACCAGTTATCCTCAGAAACCACAGAAACATCGACAAGTACGTTTTTCTCAATAGTAAAAACACAAATAGTTACATGTAACAGAAAACCGCACAATTTTTGGAAATAGAGCAATTCGATCGTCGTTCGAGGGTTGTTTGACTCCATAATAGGGACGCAAAAAATTATTCTAACATTCGCGCTTTAGGGAACTCTTCGGCAACCTTTGATCTTCGAAACGTTTCTATAATGGATGCCAGCAACGTCAGTGCAGCAAAAACTGACAAACTCAACAGCATCTGTAGAAACCACTACCACTTGGACTACATCGCCTTCCCCAATTTCGCCAACAACTCAAATTGCATCATACCAAGGAACAGACAAAATTCATTTAATTAAACCCCAAACGACCAACAAAAGATCAGCTGAGGTTTGACGTGCGGTTAAAGTAGTTCCCGAACCAAATGAGATAGACATCAAAGAGAAAAAAAATTGCTACACATCAGACGACAGCAATAATTTCACTCGAACAATTAATAACAGACGCTCGACAGCAGATATCAACAGCATCAGTAAGAAAGTTTTGACGGAACAGCCAACCGACCTACAATCGTCAGCACAACAAACAGAACATACTCGGAATGCAACTTTAAATTATCAATGGATTCTAAAGACGGCAGCTCCACAACTAACTCAGATTAACTCTTGAAAGCCGCAGATTTAACATCGCCATCTTGCAGAGGCCCATCAAGGAAACAAGCACGAAAGAATTCGCGAGTCAAACGGAGCCAACATCGTTTTTTCAAAAAGTTTCGATGAAAAAAAACGGACATGCCAGCTACCACATCTAAAAAAGGATCAGTCAAGCTCATAACGACAACCGAAAGAGAAAATTTCGGAACACCGAAACAATTCTCAGGACTTCAGACAATCAATTTTATTTTCAACCAGCAGGTCATTATGAGACTAGCAGCAACAATCACAAGTTTCTTCAGCGTCAATGAATTCGACGGAACAGCAACGACAACTTCTACCCAACACCTGTTTGATTTAAAAATCGATGCTTAAAAAATTCTGCGGTACAAATCCCAGCACGGACGATACTCTACAGCATCCCACAAGAAGAACCAAATACCCAGCCAAAAATTGAACGACATAGCAGCAAGCCAAAACAATGACAACACTACTCGAAGCCTCATCGGACCAACGGTATCAACTACTTTTGTTGACTTTGTCGAAAAAAAGCTACCAGAGTTTTGAACAAAAAAGTCGGCAACAACATACAGCAACAGCAACACATTAGCCAACAACAATAATAGCAACATCAGTAGACGCATCAACATCAACCATCAGCCAACATCAACAATATGAAACCTACATTGAAATGAGCATAGCCGACGAATCTCTGAGACAGCCACAACCGATATCAGAAGAGCCATTTTTGGGAATCGCCACCGTTCAGGAACAATTCCAACCCCCATTTTTTATAAATATTACTTTGCAACTGCAAAATGAGGCCGGGTGTAACGTTTCAATTGCAAAAAGTAAATAAATAACAAGGCTGTTCACGCGCAGCTTAAAATTGGAAATCCCGCCTATTTAATTGGAATCATCGACTCGAAAAGGAAAGTCGCCAAAGTTTGAAATAACTATCACGTGCAGCCAAACAAATCAGAACCTTCAAAGATTCGACCCAAAATTCGACGCTGTTTGCCTCAAGATTCGACCCACAACTCGAAGCTGTTCGACCCATGATTCGACTTTGTTCGACCAAAGCTTTCATTTTACCATCCTTATTTTTGGTCAAAAAGCGGTCATCCTTAATTGTTGTCATGAGTCGAGTTGAGCATATAAGGGTGACGAGCGTTTAATTTGCTTTGCTAACGCTCTTCGCACTTGTCTTTAAATCCGCGCCTAATTTTAATTGAAAATCCGCGCCTAAGTCTAAAGAAAGCACCTTTTGCAACTAAATCAACTTTGATTAATTTCGAACTATATAAATCAATGCTTTATAGGGTAGATTATTAAACCAAGCTAAAATTCAAGCGAGTAGGTTATTCAGTAACTCAAAGATTGTTGCCTTGCTATTTAGTGTGCTTCCCAGTCGGTTTCAGTCTTGCCTCAATCTCTCCCAGAATCCGATCTGCCGATTTGAATACATTATCCGCATCTTTCTTCGAGAAACACATGGGCGGCTCAATTTTGATCACACTATTGAACTTCCCGTCAAGATTGACCAACACTCGGTTTTCTTTCATCATTCGCACTTGCAATTCATCTGCTTCTTTCGTTCCCGGCTCAAGTGTGTCTTTATTCCGAATGAGCTCAAAGCCTACGAGTAGTCCTTGGCCTCTGACGTCAACATACAACCAATGTTTAAGTTGTAGCTCTTGAAGTTTCTGTTTCAAGTAAGCTCCAACTTCTTGTGCAAGTTGCTGTAGATTGTCGTTTTCAATCACATCAAGAACTGCTAGACCAGCTGTCATTGAAACTGGAGCTCCTCCAAAAGTGTTGAAATATGTTCTCTTTCCGGCACAGAATGAGTTCGAAACTTGACTTTTTACCACAAGCGCGGCCAAAGGGTATCCATTTGCAATTGGCTTCCCAGACGAGACCATATCAGATACGATTTGGTCCCTTTCAAAGGCCCAAAAATGGGTTCCGATTCGCCCAAAACCCGTTTGGATTTCATCTGCAATACATAGAATATCGTCTTTTTTGCAAAAGGTCAAAATTTTTTGAGATAGTTCTTCGGGAATACAATGTGACCTGCACACGAGGGAAAAGATTCGGCGATGAATGCCGCGACTGAACAAACTGTAATTTCATCTCTCTCTGACTCAATGACTGCGGCAAGATCTGTCAAATATGCATCACATTGCTTTGCTTCATTCTTAATATGAGCAAACTTTCCTCTTACAGGATCAGGCATGGATACTACTTTAACCCAATCTTGTTTTCCCGAATCCGCAAACCCCTAGGGTAGTTTCCGTCTTTCTTCTTGTAGACTGATATTCGCATCGTTGATTCTAAGTGTCCGTGGTATGCCATCTCGAGGCACAGTATCTTGTGACGCTCGCCTTTATGGTAGGCTCTGGCCATTTGGATAGCCAGATCAATCGCTTCTGATCCCGAATTCGTGAAGTAGCAAAAATTCAGTTTCTCGGGGAACTTCGACGATAACCGTTTGGCATACACCGAAAGCTTGTCGTTCAAAAAACGACTGTTAACGTTTAGAGTTAGTATCTGTTTGTGGACTGCTTCTGCAACGTAAGGGTGCAAATGGCCGACATGGCTTACGTTAAAATTGCAGTCCAGGAACTCGTTTCCGTTTTCATCGTATAAGTATTGACCTTTCCCTCTGACAATCATTGGCGGGTCTTCTTCGAAGAAAAGTTCCACATTCGGTCGAACATGTTTTTGTCTAAGTTGAATCGTTTTCATTTTTGACACTAAAATATCTTCGTCTAAAAGTTTAGGATGGCCATTAGATATTTTCGATTGGCCCGCTTTGTTATTGAGGTTCATATGTTTTGGCTATTTCTTAGAAGGTCGCACAGACGACATTGTCAGATTTACTCCTGGTGGCGTTTTGTCAGCTGAATTGATAAATAATTGGCACTAATCGAGAATCGAAGAAACCACTTACTGATGAATGTGAATCAAAAGTTACATTGAGTCGAACAAGCCTCCTGCTGTTCCGAGTTTGATTGAGAGTGCAATCAATCGGACAAACCTCCTACTGATCTTAAGAAATTCAAAAACACAAAATGACCGCGTATTCAAAAATTGATGTGGTTTTGTAAAAAAAAATAAGACTGCTCGCATCATGGGTTCCAACTGCGATACACAGAATATCTTCTTTTTGCAAAAAGTCAAAAACTTTTTTGAGACAATTTTTCGGGAATACAATGTGACCTGCACACGAGGGAAAAGATTCGGCGATGAATGCCGCGACTGAACAAACTCTAATTTCATCTCTCTCTGACTCAATGACTGCGGCAAGATCTTTCAAATATGCATCACATTGCCGTGCTTCATTCTTAATATGAGCAAACTTTCCTCTTACAGGATCAGGCATGGATACTACTTTAACCCAATCTTGTTTTCCCGAATCCGCAAACCCCTAGGGTAGTTTTCCGTCTTTCTTCTGGTAGACTGATATTCGCATCGTTGGTTCTAAGTGTCCGTGGTATGCCATCTCGAGGCATATTATATTCTGACGCTCGCCTTTATGGTAGGCTCTGGCCATTTATGGTAGGCTCTGGCCAGCTCTATGGGTTTAAACTGCGGCTTAAAAAGAGTATCTTGGGCAGTTTTCAATTCAATTATTAACAAGACTGATCGTATCCAGGCAAATTCTTGAATGTTTCCACTGCCTTTTAAGGTTTATGGAGTAGTGGTCTCTTTGAAAAAAAATGATGATGCGAAAATTTTTTTAAATTGTATTATTTTGAAAGTCACCGCCCCACATCTTATATAAAGTGATATATTTTGCATGGAGCAAAATATAAATTTAACCAAACAGCACAGCATGCCTCAATTTGACACGATTTCTAAACGGATTAGATCTCCGCATACGCCTGAATATCATGAAATATATCGCGCGTTAATTGTTCCAGTTTGATCAAAAAGGCAATCTTTTAACCCTCAAAAATTTACAAATTTTAATCAAAAGTAAATTATCGTCCAAAATGGCAAGCTAATCAGTCGAAATTTGTCTGCAGAAAAAAAACACCTCGTGCGCAAATATTTGTCATTTTCTTCGAAAGTCTAACTAATATATTGTTACCCTTTCCACAAATATTTGTTAATCAAAAAATTTTTTCCGACGAGGTTGTATTACATTAATCAACTAGCTAGTTTCATTCCAATCTGGAATGATTTTCGCTTAAATCACTGCCGTCGCAACACGTTTATAGAGAATAGCAAAAAGCGCTGGTCTTAGCCAGAAATGGGCATTTCATATTAGAGTATTTGTTCCAATTTTCAAAAAATGGCGGAATGGTTATGCTCGGGTGGTTTTGTCTCCAGAAAAAAATCTAATTTTCAATTAGAAGTTTTTGATCAACTTTTTTAATATCATTTAAAAATTATTCTTGTTCTGAGCTCAAATTTGAAAGTTATTTCACTTGTAATCAATTTTTGCAAAGATATTGGGGTTCAAAGATTGCCAATTAGGTCAATTCGGGGCAGTGAACGCGCGGTTCGTTTCGTGCTATTTACGTGTAAACGGAGATTTAATCAGTGCTAGAAATTGCAAAATCTAAGCGAGAATTTTTACCGGGAATTAAACCCGGGTAATTCAGAGTTCATCTATGCAGCCAAACATACATAAGCAAATGATGTGATCGCATCGATTTTCTAAGCAACCGTTATCCTTTCAAACTCCGAGTCCAATGAGTGACTGCTTCCATGTCTTCCGTATCTAACGATCAAGTCTAACTCATATTTTCAAGAAAGTTAAGATATTGTTACTGCGTGATATTCTTTTTTCTCCAGACAAATTTTGAATACTAAACTGACTTTTACAAGTTTTTTTATACTACCCTAACAATTTTGATATCCTGAGCACTATCTTAGTACTCTTGATGACTGGGGTGTTTTTATTTAGGAGAAAGATTGTTTCCGAAGCTGAAATGCTAATTAGTTCTTTTTGCGACCATTTTTGGGTGTTTGTAAAAAAGTTAAGTTGGCCAATTTGGGATATTAGGTTATAAAACGGGGTAAAGTGCGGATTGTTTTGCTTAAATTATAACCAATGAAAAACATTTGATACATGACGCTAAGTAATCCCCATTGTACTGTAAACTAGCGTTTCTGGGGATAAACTTGTCAAAAAAACACAGAAAAAAAATTGTTTCGAAATTCAAACAAAAGCACCGAAAAATTAAGCTAGGGGTAGTTTTTATTCTTAGCATTTCAGATTTTTCAATTGAATTTTTTAATGGATTTTTTTTCATCTTTAAAGTTTATGAGGCTTGAAATTTAACATTTTGGCCAATTTGTGATTTTTGCGCAAACATTACTGCAAACACCTTAGATTAGGCTCAATTTCGGGGTATACTTATGCTCACTACACATCCCTTTAATTATGATAAGCAGAACTGAAGCAATGCAAAGCAAAATCATTTGTATATATAGAAGGAAAAGTAGCTTTTTTCGATCAAATTGATCAAGGGGTCTAAAAGCTTCAAGTGCTCTTTAACTTCTTTCAAGTGCTTTGACAAAAAATTACGAAAAAAATTTCTTCCAAAATAAATTCGATCAGGTAAATATATTTTGTTCTCCATACACAAGCAAAAACAAGCATAAAAAAGGTGGTTTGTATCTGGAAGGAAATTCAAACAACTAAACCGTGTAGTTTAAAAATGAATAGTTTTGATTGCAAATGAGTGTGCAGTCTCAGATAATTCAGATGTATGATTTGACTAGTTTGCACTAATGAATACGTAAGTAAATAAAATTTAGTTCAAAAACTGAAGAACATTCCATTTGTCAAACACTTGTCTAGTTGAAAATTGTTGGAACCAATTCGTTTCGTTCAATTAACTTTAAAAAATTTTGGAGGCAGATTTTTTGCCTTCTCATTCGTTTAAGGGCATTGTTTTAAGCGTTTTTGATTTGTTGCTGACTTTCGAATTTGTGTTCGAGGTGGTTTTTTCTTCAGACAACTTTCGACTTTTTTACATAGCAATTTTTGACAGAAGTTTTTGACAGAAATTTGAGTTGGGGAATTTTACCTTTGGTCTTTTTTCGTGAAAATATGGGGGTTTAAAAAGGCCATTTTGACCAATTAGGGACATTTAACGCGCCATATAATTCGAGCTATTGACGCGTAAGCGGAGAATTAATCCGTCTTAGAAATCGTTCCAAATGGGTTTAATGAAGCTTATTTGCCATAAATGATTTGCTACAAGTAGCGAAATTTATCCTTTTGTACTTCTATATGGCGTGTGGGGATGATTTTCATGAAAAATTTCAAATTTTAGAAGAAAAAAAATTTAATTTTATTTTATTTCATTTAATTTTTTTATGTTATTACTGTTGCTCAATAAACCTTAAAAGGCAGTCGGAACATTCAGGGTTTTGCCCTGATACGAGCAGTCTTGTTGTTCTTTCATTTTTTTAAATACAAATTCTGCAACAAAAAAAAACAAATTGTAAGATTATCAATTTAAGATTGAGAAGGAAAAAAATATATATATGCATGACAGCTATGCCTGATAGCTAAGCGGAAATTTTTGGATCAAATTACAAAAGCGGTAGTTAAGGCATGGTTGTGATGCATTTAGGAGTGTTAGATGAAAATTAATCAACCAGGTAAATTAATCATCCACATATTTTGATTGAAGAAAGGTTTGTTGCCATAATTGATTTGTTAATAGGAGCGAAAAACATCACTTTGTACTTTATATGGCATGGGGGGATTTTTTCCTCCCAAAAATTTAAAATTTTAGAAAAAAAATCATTTTTTTCATTACATTTGATTTTCTCATGTTATAACTGCTCCATAGACCTTAAAATTCAATTGGAATCTTCAAACTTTTTTCGCCTCCAACGTTGAGGACTTCTTTTGAAAAACTCTAGTTGCTTTGAAAGACTCGGACTACTCCATCCGAGTTGGGGAATTCTTCACGCTGGATGTACTGAATCAAAAAAAGGTACTAAAATCCAATCAGAGTTGAACTCACCAGCGGATTTAGGGGGGTGGGGGCGGGCGCCCCTTTTTCTCAGGGATTCGACCCCCTGCCGACCCAAAGGGACCCCCTTTGTACTATTTTGAGATATCCTTTTTTGGCTGAATGACCCTAAAATGTTTCTAAAGGCGCCATTGGCGCCAAAATATACTAAATTTGAAGGGGGAGCGCGCGCCAAATAACGCAATTTTTTGCCCAAAAACGCTTTTTTGGCCTGTTTTTTCAAAAATATGCGGCCTAGAAAGTTGTGTCGAAAGGCGTCTTTAGTGAGTTGGGAGAGCTCAGAAAATCAATTTGGTCGACCTAAAAAGAAGGTCGACAAAATTTTTGAAGTTTTTTTTGAAAATCCACCTCATGGAAAATCCTTTGAAAAAAAAACATTTATTATCGGGGCGGATAAACTGAAATATGGTTCGAATGTCTTTGTTCTGGACTTGAATAGTCTTGCCAAGACCTTAAATTGACTGGAGAAGGGCGTTAATTTCCTTGTTTAGTTTTCTTGCCTGGGTAAAATTGTCTCACCCTAGGAGCAACCAGTTCGTTTTTTGCGTTTTTTTAATCTCTGCCCTCAAAATTTTCATGGACTGATTTCAAAGGATTGTTTAGAAAAAAAAGAGGTTTAATAAGGAATGGCTCATTAAAACAAGTATCAAAAGGACCACTGTGAGTGGTGATTGGTTCGAATCCCTGCGAACGAATGTGTTAGCTGCCCGCAAATAAACCCATTTACGGTCCCAAAAAAAT